AAGTTTGTGCGAAATATATTTTATCCTTAAGATATATTCTTGTTTTAAAAATCGCATATGGTAAAAACAAACTTAGTCATATTTGAACTAAGAATTATTATATATACTTGAAAATACCGCTTATATCCGATGTTCACTTGTCGCTTGTCCTTGCAATATTTATAAGTAAATTTCAGCTTCAACCAAGAATATTTTGCACTTTTTGTTTTAAGGATAAATTATCCTTTATCCAAAATTATTTATATATTATAATATTATTTAACGCATAATTGTTTTATTTCTTATATATTTATTTTCCTTTTTTTTTTTTTAAATACATTTTATTAATATCATCTACACATAAATGTTTATTGCTTATGTATTTATTTTCTCGTTTTAAATGAATTTTATTAAGATTATCTGACAACTGCAATTTGTTTAATATAGCTCTTACAGCCCTTCCTTGTTCACAAACATTAAAATTATTTATATTTGGCGCTATTATAAGGATAAAATATACTTGAATCGAGGCATATTTGCATTTTTTTAAGGATACTGTTTTTTCTGTGATCCGATTGGATCTTTCGATCGATTCGCGAGCACAATGGGACCTCGATTACAGCGACGTCGATACAACGCGATGCGCTTAGGTGGCACGAAATCTTAATTAAACATGGACGAGAGAATCGATACGCGTTTGCGAGTCTCTCGATCGGATCTCGGACTTGCTCGATGCAGCATTATACGGGAGCTCGTACGGCTCACTTTCACCTGGCAGAAACGACCGAGCCAATTGCGAAATTCTCGCGGTTTTATGTATCGACGGTATCTATCTTGAATACGTTCGCGTTTGCAAATCGAGACTCGCGAAGCGATTCACGCAGTAATTTAATTCGATATATAATCGCTAATTTTATCGATTGAAAGCGAATAATACAATTGACAAAATTGCAGCAAACACGGCTGTTAAATCTTATTTAAGTATTTCGTTTGTTTAATTGCATTTAATTTAACGCGCGACGTGATAGTTTTGTAAAAAAAAAGGGGAAATAATGAATTTATTATACCATATAATTTACAACCGACACTTTGCAGATGATATTATGAAATTTAATTATAGTAGGGGAGAGTGTGTCGGCGGTGATGTGTGTTGAAAGAAAAATCTTTTCTCTCTCTCTCTCTCTCTCTATCCTTATTCTCATCAGCGTAAACGCGCGATCCTGAAATCGAGAAGATAGACGACCCGAGTTGGAGAAACAAAAATAAATAGCGGAGTTAATCAAACTAAGCAAACGAGAAACTCAAAGGAAGATAGAAAAGAAAAGGTGGATGGCGTAATAAGGTTTCAAAGCGTTGTTTTAAAATTCTTATCGCTACAAACACATCGCGGCAATAAAATCTCGAATAAGAAGATCGTGGACGAAGATTCAAAAAAGTGGACCTGATCACGCGATGGCCGCCTTAATGACGATGTTCTCTCATTTATCAAGAATGGAAGTCGCCGCGCTTCTTGCGTCTATCCGTCACTCGTTAACCGGACGATCGTTACTATCGTAAAAGGTGAGACGGAAAAAGAGCGTAAAAAAAAATGTGAGATCGGGTAGAGGTACGTAGTTTCGGAAAAATAATAGCGCCCGGATCGCCTCGGGAGAGTGGCAATCGTTCAAGGTATAATAATTTCGAGGAATTTAACCTCCCTCTGTTCTCTCCTACGCCCTCTTTCGCGCAGGTTTCCTCCGCTCTTCGTTCATGTCTCTGCTGCTCCTTCTCCCGAGTCTTTTTCTTTGCTACGTTTACGAGTCTCCTCGGATCCGGAGTAAAACCGCGCAGCTTCTTCCGCTCCGTGTTTCTCCTTCTTCTCTATCTCTTTCCCGTCCGCAAACGGCGGCATGCCGGTGAAATAAATCCGTGTATTCCGGAGGGTCTTAAATTCAACCGGAAATAGAATTTGTCCCGGGGCGGTCACGGGAGTCGGCACGAGGAAAGTCTGACGAAACGCTGGAAACAAGAAGAATCGAATGAAAGCGAGAGCCCGCCCGAGTAGCGGCGAAGAAGAACAAGAAAAGGAGATGAGCGAGAACTCTGCACGTGGCTCGGCGAAATTATTCCGGTGTCTTCTGCAGACGGCGACAAGATGTTAGATAAAGGACCAAAAATTCGTTTCGTAAAAAATGAAAGTATAAAAAGACTCAACTTATACGCAGAGAGAATTTTCTTTTAGAAAATTCAATGATAATCGTGGGACGATATAATACTGAAAGGATTTTATAACAGTTTGATTCAATATTTACCGCAATCAAAAATATTAATATCTACCACAATATAATATATAAAATATGTTCGATTAATTTTACTATGTACACATTAATATTTTTCATTGTAGTAAATATTAATCAGAGAAAAACTAGATTACCCTATATCGATGAAATAAAGTAGAAATCTTATTTCTCGTAAATTATTTACTAATAAATGTAGAAATGATAGATATTATTTTTTTATTGTAATAAAAATGAAGAAACTCATAAAATTCTTCCAATACTATACCGCCTCACGATTATCATGATTTTCTGGGTAAATTCTAAGAGAAAATTCTGTCTCCGTGTATATTTCGTTAATGAAAATTTAAATTGTTTCGATATATCATTTTATCTTATTACTTATCACGTACGTGGAAAGATTACTGATAAAAATGAAAAAAATGTCCTACTGTAAAAAGTAATGTCTTACTACGGGATTAAAAGAACCGCTATTGAACTCGTAGAACATGTTTTAAGATCAATCATTATAAATTGAACGACGAGCTTCTGTTACGTGCGTGATTGGATATTTTTATCTTCGTGTACAGCGTGACAATCAAACTGTCATCCATCATGTTTCGGAGATAGAGACTTCCTCTCGGATAACGAACTTCTTCGGGATAAGTTCCGTAAAAGAGTGCCAAGGAACGTCTTAATCTGGATGAAAACCTGGCGAAAGTTTTTCGCAGAGTTGTGCGGGAAGAGAGTATGGTCGGAGGGTTTGCAACGGATGGATGGAAGCTCGACGGGGGAGGAGAAAAGCTTTTCACCTTGAAAGGAGGCAAGTGCACTCGAAGATATCCCCGAAAGCCGAAGAGAGGCATTGTACACAGTATATGTATATATCAGAGACGTGCTGTCTCTCTCAATCTCTCGGTTGCGCCACCCTGTATCGCGGCTTGACGCGAAACTCGTTGCAAGAGACGCGGCATCGCACAGAGGCAGGGCTTAAAATTTTCACGAGCCACTCGAGAGTCGGGCGGCCTCCTCCGCCTCCCGAAATCTGCAATTTGGCGTATACCTACCTACCTGGGTGGCGGATACGCGGAAAAGAGGTCTGGCCCGGAAGAGAGGACGCGAAACAAGACGATGAGAGAAAGAGACGCTGGAGGCCTTTGCACGTTGAAGAAGGTGGCCAACCACCTACACCGAGTGGACCTACTAGCGGGAGAAACGATTCTCGTCGTGTTTACGTCTGCTTTTCGGAGAAAGTAAAAAGTAACCGAGGCGCGGGGATTGGACAAGGGAAAAAAATGGAAAATAGTGGCTCTTCTCAAAGGTACTCTAGATACCCGGGCAGCCATCCTTCATCGCTACTTCAATCTTTTTCTCTCTCTTTCTTACGTTCTCACTTGAGACGAGCAAAGCTGTTTTCGGCAATTTCTTTAGCGGGTCTTATCAAAAAAGTGAAAAAGCAGAGACCTGATGAAAGAAAGTACCACGGATTTCTAGCCCGTTCCGAATACAAAGTCGTTTTGAAGTGGAAAGGGATGAAACGAAAAGGACGATGGGGGAGGAGAGGTGCGTCGGAGGAGAAGGAGGACATCTTACATTTTTGACGAGACCACTCGTCGGGTAGAGAACGAATGGTACCACAAGCGGTTGGTAGCCGAGGCTAGGAGGCGCTACCTGGCGCGCTCAACTCAGTCGCAACAGCGGCAGCGGCGGCGTTTTACTGAAGTCTGCAATTTCGCGGATGCATCTTGGCTGACCTGGCTAGAATCGGAGAGAAGGGGAAGAAGCGAGAGAAGGTCTTTGCCCGCTTTAGAAGAACTTCTAAAGAGTGCCTTGCCGGCTCTCTCACTCGTTCTGATTTTTTCTCTCCGACACTCTTGCACCTTTCCGCCTCTTTGCATTTCGGCACTTTAGAATTTCGTTCCTACTTCGATTCTCGCGCGTCCTCTGTCTTTCCTCTCGTTACATCGCAAGAATGGCGAGACGCTGGTCAGATCTTGTATCCCAGAGCGAAAGCGAAAGACAGAGCGTGCCGAAAAGGGACGGTCGATACTTGACTCTCTTTCTCTCCTTGCTATGTCGCGTTCTCGACGAGCACGAGAAGAACAGAAGTCGAAGATGGTTGGAGGCGAGAAGGAGACGGATAAACGCGTGGTATTGATCCTGAAACCTCTTACCCTCCCTCCGGTTCCACCTTATCCCGACACCCTTCCACTATCGTGATGAACCCTAAAGTTTTGTGTTCCGAGTTTTCGCTCCCTTTCCTATTTCCTTTTTATTCTCGCCATCCTGTCGTTGCTGCTACTATTTTCTTTTTCACGCACGGTAATTGACCGTTGGACAGTAACGAATTCCGGTTATGTCGGAACCCTTCGCCGATACGAATGCAAGTTGACCTTGAACTCGGGATATACATATGTATGTCGTTTACGGCCTTTCTTTCATATGTCACACATTTTTCTGACCATTGCCAAACCTGAATGAGACGTAAACGTTAGCATTTTTAAAGGCACAACACGTGCAGAAAGGAAATGTCTTACGACATTTTGTTTTTACTTTTTTTATATTTATTTTTATTAACAACGATTTTATATGTTTTAAAAATAATTATTTATGTTTATTTATAATTATAGGTTTATATTAAATTCTATCTTTATTCTTGGTTTATATCGGGAAATGTGATGATTATTTATGATATAAATAATGTTAATTTATTTGAAAAACAACAACAATATTATTTAGAAATAAATATTTTTATTCTTGTTTCAGATTCAACAGCCACCTCTCTTCATTCGTCAGCGATTAGAGACTCGAATTGACAAAGCGAGATTGAAAAGTCAATCAGACCACTGTATCACCATGTAATGTAAACGGAAAGAATTAATTTCCGCTGGCCACATTAAAAAAAAAAAAAAAAAACACGTGTTATGGATAAAGCAAAACGGCGAGTAGATGCGTGTTCGACTCTCCGATATTAATTATCACGTGCACCGTCGAATTATTATTTATTCAAAGTCATATACGAAGTCCAGAACGCAGGTATCATTAACCAACGTGTGATCCGCCGGAAGAGGGATTCTGAAGATAGAGAAAAGCGGCAGCCGCGGAACGATAAACTGGAGCATAAGCGGGCGAGGAAAGCCGTGGCCGGTGAAGAAGGCGGAGGCGGTGGGTGACAAAGAAAGAGGGTGAAGGAATTCGACGCGCAAGACGACGACGACGCGAGGCCGTAGAAGAGGCATGAGGAGGCGAGAGTGACGACGCTGCATCCTCGCGCTGATCGTGAGAGGACCGGCGGCCGTCCACTGCGGCAGTGTGGGGCCCACACGGCGATAAGAATGGGCCCCTTCAATATGGCGGGCGTAGCAGGCCTCCTAGCCACCTGCGCCGCCGTTGCTGCTTCCGCTGCCCACCTTCTACCGTTGCTGCTGCTGCTAATCTGCCCGCGAGGGACCCAGGCGGATCAAGGTAAGCGCTCTCTCGTCCGCTTCTCTCTCTCTCCACCTTCTTTTTACCTCGCCTTCTGGTGTCTACGTAGGGCTAATCAAGCCGCGAGATGATAGTCCAAGGCGACACCTCGGGTCGCGATATATCGCGCCAATTGCCGCTCTTGGATATATACTTATCCAGATGTATCGGGTTGTAGCTGGAATCGAAGGCATTTACCACCGCGTGATCGACCGATCTGTCGATTGTCTCGACGAAGAAAACCGAGTCTTTTATCGTCAAACGGAATCGTGGACTTAATGACTTCATTATCTTTTCGCATCGTGCGATAGGTATACATTGCTTTCGGTTGAAAAATTGAAATACTTTTGGCTCTCGTTAATTGTTTCGCAATTTATTAAGAAGAACGATGAAACACAAGGTGTATTTTCAATTTTTTTTTTCCGGATTATGATACGATGGAGACGGAAAATAACGCGACATAATATTATCGCGAAGGTAAATCTTGATACGAATAGCAATTTGCGATACACTAATACGCGCAATATCTCTTTTATCCCTATCCGAGACATCGGTACGGTTCTTCTTTCGACTAACGGAGAAGCGAACGTAAGGGACACGTTAGTTCGCATCAAGTCGACGTTTCCTGACGCTCCGCTCGTAATTTTGCGGCCGCGTGATTTATTGCGCGGAGATGCTGAATGCGAAGGAAAGAGAGAGAGAGAAAACAACCAAATTGCCACGACACTAATTACGTACGCACCGCTATACTTACCCACACGAATATCCTGGCCGATCACGTGGCAGCTACGAGTTTCTCTCTCTTTCGTCTACTTTAACTCACATTAGGCTATTATTTTATATATAATCCGTTCCTCTTTTTCTCACGAAACAAAAGTTCTCTTATTCAGCATTCCTTCTATAATATCGTATCTGGATAAATACACAGCCGCGGCTCTTTATACATTTTAATACGGATTGTGAAAGAAAGAGCTGTTATTATAAATTAACTAAATATTTCACTCGGTAATTTTTTTGTTTGCTCCATCTAAAATACCTTCAACATTTTACTTCAAGTATAGTCGAGAGGCTAAATATAGTATATATTTATGGGAAGAAAAATTTCAGACCCATTTACATTAACTGCACGCTTTGTCTCTTGTCCACTCTTAATCGCGATATAATTTCTCGTCGCATCGAGATTCACGGCAGCGAACTTTTAATTTCCTTTTTTCTTCTCCCCTTTTTTTTTTTTTTTTTTCCCTTGCGAGCGTCGAGTCAGTGTCTCGAGGCGATGGATGTTGTTTGCTCGGATAAAGAATTCTTCTGTGCGCACTGCCCCGATCGTTGCGAACGTGATTTAACGGAGCCAAGATTGGCCTTCCAGTCCCATTATGCGTTTCTGAAGATCATCCACGCGGGCTACTTGGAACGTTTTCCATATTTTAACCGAAAAAAAGCCAGGCGCCTCGGGCACCTTCGATGGCGCGCCCTCTTCGTGGCCCCTCTTATTCCCCCCTTTCGTAGAGGGGAATAACGATAATTTCGTAATGCGGACCAATCTTCCGAATTGCGAGATCGGGTCCGAGGTGCTGGTAGTTAGCGTTCGGGGATTAAAAGGGGATCGTTTCGTCGCGCTTTTCGGGGACGGTCGGCTGCCCAAGACGTAAAGACGCCTCCACGAATTCGCCCAGCAAACTCGCGGTGTGGGTATCCCGCCTTATTTTTTACGATGCGACTTTCGACCGATTTTATGAATAATAAAATGCGTAAATTCTCATCTATTTCGGACGAGCAACTATTAATATTGTATATGCACGTGTGTGCATAGTAATGAGATTTTATTTTACAACTTACTCTGAAAATCATGATATGGTGCTGGAAGAATTTTGTAAGTTTTTCTGATTAATATTTGAAATAAAAAAAAATTAATCGAACATGTTTTATATTGTGGTAGAGATATTAATATTTTTCACCGTGATTTCTAGGGTAAATTCTAAGAGACAATTTTCTCCCTGCGTATCTCAATTTCCCTTTACTAAATATTTATCATATCCTCTTTTGATCTCTTGAAAAAAAAAAATAATAATAATAATTTATATATGAAGCATGAAATTTTATAAATTATTATATATATATATATATATATATATATATTTTTTTTTTTACAAGATACGTATATTATACATGTACAGTCTTTAGGATGCCCAAGAATAAAATGCATAAATCCTCATCTATTTCGGACGAGCAACTATTAATATTGTATATGCACGTGTGTGCATAGTAATGAGATTTTATTTTACAACTTACCCTGAAAATCATGATATGGTGCTGGAAGAATTTTGTAAGTTTTTCTGATTAATATTTGAAATAAAAAAAATTAATCGAACATGTTTTATATTGTGGTAGAGATATTAATATTTTTCACCGTGATTTCTAGGGTAAATTCTAAGAGACAATTTTCTCCCTGCGTATCTCAATTTCCCTTTACTAAATATTTATCATATCCTTTTGATCTCTTGAAAAAAAAAAATAATAATTTATAATATATGAAGCATGAAATTTTATAAATTATTATATATATATATATATATATATATTTTTTACAAGATACGTATATTATACATGCACAGTCTTTAGGATGCAGAGGTATCTGCGCTGCTTTACATAATCGATTAGATAATAATGAAATCGCGGCTAATCCGTGCTCTCCTTGCTTCTGGCGAATTTCGGGGCTGACTCGAGATTTCGAGATTTCCGGGTTACATCCTGCGATCGCGGCCACTGCGGAGTACCCGTGGCAAGTTTCTCCGGTGGCCCCTCGAGAGTTCTTCTTCCTCTCTCTCCCCTCGACGTAACGCGTTTAATGGAACTTGCCAAGGATCCGTTCCCAGTGGACCGTGTCTGCCGATGGAGGCGGCTAACTTTGTTTCCCTCGACTCGCACGAAACGCGAGCTCCTCGTTATCCTTGCCCTCGCGATATCTTTGCGAAGCTCGCTTCTTTTCCTCTCCTTTTCGTCCTCGTCGTTGCCGTCGTCGCTAACATCCGCGAACTTTATCCTTCGATCGCGCTATCGTGATCCCTAAGATGCGCGTCCATTACTTTAGTTCCCGAACTTTCAAATTTACAGGTATACGAGCATCGATAGCTCCGAGAGAGAGAAAGTTTGGATCGCGAGATACCTAGACTTAAAATTCTTCATTGGCGCGTGACGTCTCGCGAAATTGAATTCCTAAAAATCGTGGATGCGCACACATCTCCTCCTCGCTTTAGATATCAGCGTCTCTTTATCTGTTTTGACGTGGAGAACAATTTTTGTCGACATAAAAAATATCGACAGAGCTACTGATAGATATATAAATGCATATGATACATTTATTTTCTCAGCATTTCAAACAATCGAGACGGTAGAAATATTCTTCATACAATATAATTTCTTGAATTCACTGACAACAGAAAGGAAAGAAATTGATCTATTATACATGATTTAGCCTCGACTTTTCATCCTTTCGATCGCGAAAGGAGAAAACTCTTTCGAGAGTTTGAAACGAACCGAATCCTGTGAAACGTGGCGGTCAAGATTCAATTACTTTCTCGAAGTAAGGCCCATCGCGCCTCCGAACTCATTTACCGTCCAGAAGCGAAGTCCATCGTTCTGCTCTCGGACGATGCAAGATCGCCCAGAGAGAGAGAGAGAAAGAGCGAAACCCCACCCAAGGCTCGAAACTTCCTTTCATTCGATTCTGTTGTACGTTAACGGACATTAGCCGGGAGCCGGGAATTTAAGGCGAAATCAGAAATGGACGAACGCGAATCGGAATTGCGAAGAAGTCCCGTAGAAGCTCCTATAATTGCGTCCCTCGCTCTAACTTTCCCGTTGATCCGTTTACCGTAAACGCATTAATCGATACCGCCCACTCGATGTACAGCTGTCTTCGGGTGGCCCCGAGACGTTGATTAAATTTGAGCTAATCCCGTTCTACGAGCGATCCTTCGTTCTGTCTCTCATCGCGTCACGTGCGAGAGAGAGAGAGAAAGAGAGCCAGAATTCCTGAAACTCTCGAATGTCTCTGTTGACAGCAGCGAGTTCCCTTGGCCCGTTCTGGGCCAGAGAGGAAGAAGTTAGCGGATCGCTCGATGCGACATCAGGATATCGGGAGCGAGGTAACCGGGAACGGGTATCTCTTGAAGAAGCAGTGCTCTCTTGCCGAGCAAACTCGATTGCCTCCGCGAAAAGGCAGAAAGACTCGTTCGAGAGCTGCGCTCGTGGTCGTGCGAGAGAGCCCCAGCTCTCGTCGCTTTTATTCCTTCCTCCTTCGGCTCCTTGTCTCTTCCTTTCTCTTTCTCTCTCGCCGGTTGATGCCTTCCTTCTCTCCCAGGGCACGGTGAGTAAGAGGACGCGGCAACGCCGCAGGAATGCCCCCGGCCAACCCTCCCTTTCCCCACCGTGTGCATACCTGTACAACCTACTACTCTGATCCCGACTGTACGCGAAGGCGAAGGCAGCATCCTATCGGTCCGACAAGGACGGAGTAGGACTTGTCCTCTGAGTCTGAGAGAGGGAAAGATACTATACGCAGACTGGGTTCTCCTTATGTGTATGTTGTGTATATGTACGCGAAGATAGGGCTTGTGCGGTCTATGCACACTTCCCCATACGCGAGGAAAAGATCGCACGACGAATGTAGGCTACTTTCATTCACCGAATCCGATAGAACGTTATTATGCATTGCGATTGAAATGAGAGAGAGAATTCGCGGCGGTACTTCTTCTCCGGATGCATTGATGCATCGCGACGAAAATGCAGCAAAATGACCGTCTTATACGAGTATGCGCTCTTCTTGTCTTTCATTATGCAACACGGAGGAAGATACGCGTTATCTTGTATTTAGTATCACTAAAGATATGGCGGAACGTTCGCGCCGTAAATATAAGAATATTACAGGATCCCGTTTAAGGTGTTCGAAAAGGACTGGGGAAAGATGCGCGATAAGGAATTTTACTGCGAATCACCTGTTC